ATACTTTGCTGGTTTTTGTGTTTCTCTAGAGAACCCAATCCAACACAACAACCTATCACTGGGATTGTGCAGGACCAGGCAGAGTTTCATTCTTTTGTGCACAGGGTCACCATGAAGTGCGGGGCTGACTCCATGTCAGCTAACTATTGCTAGACTTAACCTTGCTCAGCACCACCTAATGACTCTGGAATTGAGTTTTCAGGAAGGGCAAGAAAAGGCCACCTTGTATTTCTAATAACCATATACAAAAATACTGGTTTGTTAAGGTTGAAATTAAGCAATTAAGTCGTTATATGCCATATAGAACTACGTCTTTGTCATTATTGCCATGTACACACAAGGGCTTTCTACATATTCTTTATTATTAATATAGACTTTGCTTGTGTACTACAAAGTTAACTTTTTATTTCTCAGCCATCTTTTGCTTTTTTCCTATCTTATCTAACAGCCCATGAGATTTTAGACACTGTGTTTTCTCTTGACTTCCTTCTTAATTATAATTAACGCAATTCACCTGTTCTTTAGTATTTAACTATGCAAGAACATACCTTTTTCCAGTTACTCAAGCTCACTGCAGTAATTGAAGCAACTTGCTTACAGTTCATTGAAAACTTTGGCAAAAATTTGGTATAAAGAAATGATCATTTATTTATTTTTTGATAGTTAATTTTATTCTTGAATCTTAATCGTCTTGTGTCTACTTCCTGCTGTCTCCCACCCTATACAAACTAGAGTTCCCATTTGTCTGTGCCCTCATATCTTATCCATACCTTCATTGTATCAATTATTATGTATAATTTTACATGTTTGTTTCTCCCTAGTAAACAAAAAGCCCATTATTGGCTGAACCTTTGTCTTAGACTCATACTAGGTCTTTAATAACTTACTGATTGGGAGTTTCTGTTAGGGGCATGTAGCACACATCATAGTATTAGAATTTTTTTTCCCCTTAAACAAATTAACTCTTAATTCTTTTAGAAGCTGGATAAGAAATCATCTTCATCCACAGGAAGCTTAGAATCTGGAAATGAGTCAAAAGAAAAATTACTGAAAGGAGAAAGTGCACTGCAACGAGTCCAGTGTATCCCTGGCAATGCCAGCTGTTGTGACTGTGGTCTGGCAGACCCACGATGGGCCAGCATCAACCTGGGCATCACCCTGTGCATCGAGTGCTCTGGGATTCACCGGTGGGTAGTCCTGCCCAGGGACAGAGACTTCTTTTGGATAAACACTATGAATTATGTCCCATTGTTTAGAGCACCTTTTCCACTTTTTCTTATTGTTCTGGTTAGCTAGTACTGGTCTGACAAAAATATACCACAAATGGGATGGCCTTAACACACAGGAGTTCATTCTCTCACAGTTTGGAGGCTTTAAGTCCAAGTTCAAAGTGCCAGTCTCTAGGGGCTGGGTGAAAGCCCCTTGGCCTTGGGCTTCAGTTTGCCCCTTGTTCCTAGACCCCTGAAGCTAGAGGCATCTCTTCACTCAGGCAGCTACTGGCTGCTGAGGCTAACAAGCCCAAGGTTGGCAAATAAAATGGCACAGTCCCAATGTTACCAAACCACCGGGCAGGCCATTAATTCAAGTCCATTGTAAAGTCCCAGGGTCAGCAGAGCACGGCAGGCTGCTGAACAATGACACAGCTACATGCAGGTTCCAAGCATGCCATAAGCTAGAGACCATTCCCAAAGCTCCTTCTTATACACGGGGAGCAGACCACATACTCAAAGGAGCTACTCAGCTGCTTGTGGTAGATCCCACCATGGAGCTGATTGCCAGTCTCATCATGGGGAATAACTACTACCAGCTGCCCAGCCATTCAACCAGGCCCAGCCAAGTTGACATACAAATTTAACTATCACAATTCCACACCTTGCCAACTTGGCACCTGTACAGATCTTCACTGGGTGTCATCTGTACAGATCTGCTTCACTGTGTGGCTCTAATTCCCTAGTTTCTGAGTGGCGACCTTACCCCCTTGGCCTGGCGGGCCCTGTTCCTCTACCTCTTGGGTATAGTAGTCCTGCCCTCTCACTCTTGGGCAGCAGCTGTGGCTCCATCCCACTGGCTCACATGAACGAGCAGCCCCACACTCCAGAACCAAGTTGGTGAAGACCTGGCTCTTTGAAACCTAGGGGGCTGTGGCCCCCAAAGGCCATGGCCCTACCCTTTCAGGCTGAGGCAGCTCTGCTTCCGTTTGGTCTCTCCGCTTCTGCTGATGAATGCCGAAGGCAACCAACTCCGCAGGAAATCTTCCTGCCCTGAAAACACGCAGCTTTCTTGTTCTGTGGGCTGGCCAACCTGCTACTCCATTTTATGCCGGTCTTCTCTACCAATTAAGCCCCGAAGGCAACCCACTCCTCCAGGAAGCCGCCTACCCAGTGGCACCCAGCTTTCTCCTCCGTGGGCTGGTAAGGCTGTTGGTGTTTAATGCTGGTCTCTGGGCTCTACTTCTGCAGTCTCTCACACTTACTGAACTGCCAAATTGTATCTTTGCACTTTTCATAAAGTGGATAAAGTTCTAGTTTGTAAAGATGAAAAGTGATTTTGAGGACTTTGGCACACCATTTGTTATTTACTTGAGGATCTGTCCCTATTTATATCTGTGTTGAGGGCTGTCTTACCAGATTATGTCATAGTAATAGATAAAAAGAATTTGCATAAATATGCAAATAGAACAAAGACTTGATAGTTTTATGTATTAATACAGTTTTTTTTTTCCACTTAGGAGTCTTGGGGTTCATTTTTCAAAAGTACGCTCTTTAACTTTAGATACCTGGGAACCTGAACTTTTAAAGGTAAAGTAATATTTTATATTTTTTACAAAAAACACTTTAGGATTTTAGAATCTTTGTTTAAAAATTTATGAATTTCTCATTCTAACAATGAACTAAATTGTATTGGCGTATACCTGAGGCTATTTTGGCAACTCTGCTGTTTTCATAGTGGGTTTTTTAAATTGCAAAGTGCCTGTAGCACTCCTTTGTGTCCATTCATTCTCTAGGACATTCTCAAGGTTCATAGTTTTTTTTTTGTTGTTGTTTTCTCAAAAAAAAAATTCTGAATTCTGTGACTCAATTTAAATCTTTTACAATTATATAGATTCTTGTTAAAGTTATTTGATATATTACTATATAAAAGCTCCATTAAGGATTGGTATAGCATGTAAGGAGCGTTGGGTTAGCATAGAGCCATTTGCAAATATACATTTGTCAGGGTCAAACTCCAAAAAACTTTACAAACTCACTGCTGTCTAGTCAGATCTGACTTGTAGTGACCCCACCTTGGGTTTTCAAGGAGGTATCACTTTGGAAGTAGATTGCCCAATCTTCCTTCAAAGGAGTGGCTGGTGGGTTTGAACCACCAGCCTTCTGGTTAGCAGTCAGATGCCTTAGGCATTATGCCATCAGGGTAGGGGACATCAAACCAAGGCATCCTCTTTTTCCCTGTGTCTGAGGGGTCATAGCAATGGAAATGTCATAAATAATTTTAGGTAACTATTGGGTTTCTGATAACATTTACAGAATCCTAACAGTTAATAGTATGCTACTTTTAATTGTTACCATTTATTTAGATTACTATATTGTAGAAAACAGAGTAGTTTAACAGTTGTAGTATACTCTGCATATGTTTCTGTCTGAAAATTATGTTCTTAATGTGTTTGTGTTTATATTTCAGTTCATAGATAAACTTGTAAGCCTGTCAGTTATATAAATTTTAAAAATTTGCTTGTGGAATGTGTAAACATCTAAATAAAAGTGGTTAAATTTTCTTCTAATCTAGAACCTTTAAATAAGTTCCACAGTTTGTTATGAATTCAAAAGAGAAAGGAGTACGTGGATGAGGGGTAGAAATCTAATATCCATATCAGCTTTGTAAAGATAAGAATTCAAAGAGCTCAAATTAGAAAATTTGGTTGAGACACTTCTGTCTGGTACCTTAAAAAAAAAAATGACTGAAGCTTTCGAAATACTTGTATTTAGATTATCAGGAGAAAATAATTTATTCCAGTTCTGTGTTATTTAAAACTCACCTGTCTGACTTTAGGTGCTTTCTTCAATTAATTCACCAGACATTATAAGTAATGTCTGGTGGGCATGTTGGCAACTCTGTTATTTTCATAGTGAAAGAAAACCATTCTTTCCTGCCTGTCTAGTATTTATTCTCAGAGAATGCCCTCCTCAAACTCTGCCCTGTTCTTGGGTCAGATAGCATTACTATCCTCTGCTGTCCACTGACTCAGATCATGCTAGTTGTAGTGGGGGGATGGAAAACCAGTAGAAGAGAGGTTCCATACTCTGAAGGAGTGTAAAATCAAGCTAGGGGGAACATGTAATTATGAATAAAGAAGTTAGATAAGAGATGTAAGCATCTAATACTTTAGTTTAAGAAGTATTCATATAGGGGTTACTTAGCAAAAGTAGTCTGGGTTAAACCTTGAAGAATTCAGTTTCTAGAGGAAAGTGAAATTATACTTCAGGTACATGAGACAAGTTACATAGTTTCAAGAAGGTAAAATTTCATACTATGGGAAAACATGGAAGTCAAATGGTATTCTGGAGGGTCCAGAGTGCCACTGTGCTGAGATTAGGTTTGATTTGATATTTCTTTGGTCCAGAACTTTAGGGGAGGAGATAAGGAAATATTTTCTTTTGGGCAATTACATGCAGGAAAAAGGAATGATTAGAGGCTATTGAGGTGAGTTTTGCAAACTTAATTATTTTAATAAAAACATGTTTATCAAAGAAAAGCTTTAAAATAACAGGTATTACAAAAGGAAAAAAAAACCAAACACTGTTAATATTTTCCCAAATATTCTTCCATGCTTTTAGTCTGTTCTTTTATAATGTCTTTAAATTTTTTCCCTAAGTTATAAATTAATAATAATATAAATTATAAAATAAGGCATGAGTAACATTTTGGAAAATAGGTAAAAATTCCCAGCATCTATTCTTAATAGAATTTGTTTTTGGCAAAATTCACTCATCTTTTTATAAGAATAGTTTACATGCTTGTAATCATAATATATGTGTGATTTGTTTTTCATGTAGTATAAAATATGTATGTAATTCTTGGTATTTTTTCCCCATTCTTAACCAGCTTCCCCAGCAGCAATTATTGACCAATCCTTTCCTTTCCCATCATTTTGTTATTTCTCTTTGCTCTACATTAAATTCATATAAGCAGGGTTGATTTTTGTGTTATTGCTTCTCATCCAGTGATACATGTTTGTCTCATAGAACCAGTACAGGTTGGTTGGTTGGTTGGTTTGTTTCCAAGGCTGCCATCTAAACCCACTGCCATTGAGTTGATTTCAACTCATAGTGACCCTATGAGACAGAGTAGAACTGCCTCATAGGGTTTCCAAGGCTTTAAATCTTTGCAGAAGCAGACTGCTTCATTTCTCTCCTACAGAGTGGTTGGTGGGTTTGAGCCACTGACCTTTTGGTTAGCAGCCAAACGCTTTAACCACTACACCACCAGAGCTCCTTTTTTAAGGCTACTGCATAATAATTAGAATCTTAATTTCAAAGATGAAAAATATGCTGTATAAAACTGGAGGTAATCATTTCTCAATTTATAAGAGGTAGCTAGGCTGCAGAAAGGGACAAGGGAGAGAAACTAGGGAGAGAGGAAAAGGGAAAGAAAGAGTGAAGAAGAGAGAAGGAGAGAGGGAGGGAAGGAAGGAGATAGAAGGAAAATGGAAAACTAGAAAAGGAAACCATGAATAGAAGAGGGATGTGGTGAAAGTAGAGGGTCCTGAAAGGGCTCATGACTAAGCACAAGGGGAGAAAGAATACCATTCTTTCCTGCCTGTCTAGTATTTATTCTCAGAGAATGCCCTCTTCAAACCCTGCCCTGTTCTTCGGTCAGATAGCATTACTATCCTCTGCTGTCCACTGACTCATGTGTCCTCACCACTTAACCTTAATTCTCTGCAGCCCTCAGTTATGCCAGCCCAGTGTGCACCAGTGTTTCTCTTACCCAGATATGCCTCATCAGGGAAGCGGTTTGAGTGATCCACAGAAGCAACACACATAATTTATTAGTGAGGTTAGATGAGTTTAAACTGAATTAAATAAAGAGGTGAATGGAGAGATGAAAACAAAAACTGAAATCTGAAGATTTTGGAACATACAACTAGGAATTGGTTATTTGGAGATAGAACCTAAGAAGAAAGAAACATTCAAAAACAGTTTCAACAGAGTTGTAAGTTGGATGGACTTTTGAATATTTGTAGGAATTGGAAGACAGTGAGGAAATTTTTAAAGAATACATGCAATTGCCTTCACTTTGAAACCACTGAACCAACTCCTACTTGCAACAGATTCTTCATCAGTCACCTTCATGTGCAGCTTTTAAATCACTGAAAGTAAGGCTAAATAAGAACCTTATATACCTGTACCAGCTTAGCTACAAATTCGACTTAAAGACGGACTTGGGCACTATCACATCTCATAACCTGGGGACTGCCTGTATACATTCAGTTATATTATTATTTGTATATATTTTTAACTTACTGTCCTAAAACTGGTGGAAGTCAGTACTCATTGCACATTATTATATAGGTAATACTTTATTGTCATGATTCTTGCCCTGTAAAGATTATAGCCTTGGAAACCCTATAGGGCAGTTCTACTCTGCCCAATAGGGTCACTAAGAGTTAGAATCAATTTGACAGCAATGGGTGTAACCTTAGAGGGGAGCTAGTCTTGTGTAGCATAGCAAAATTATCATTTTACTATCAGTCTTTGTCTCATTTTGTTTACTTAAAAACAAATAAAATTTAAATTTCATTTAAATTTCTTTCTGAAATTAGGTATTGTATAATATGCACAATGAATTAGCTATACATGTTTTGAAGATCAACAACTTTTATGGTGTTTTTAGAAATAAGACTTTTTCTTTTTCCTATCTTTCTGCCAAATAGCTTATGTGTGAGTTGGGGAATGATGTTATAAATCGAGTTTATGAAGCTAAAGTGGAAAAAATGGGGATAAAGAAACCACAACCAGGACAAAGGTACTATTTCAATTATCTTAGTGTGTTAACCTTTTTTTTTTTTTTTTTTTTTCATTAAATCAGAAGATAGCTATGATTTTATTTCATTATAATTGATATATTGAGATAGAAGAATAAATATCTGGAAGTGATCATTACTGTTTCTGTTCAAATGTAGGTAGCTCTTTCTTGGATATGTTAGATTTTATTGAGCAGATCGTCAATTATAGTCTCCAGATGAGATAAAATTTTAAAAATTAAGGCTGTACATAGAAATGTAAAAACCAAAACCAAATCCACTGCCATTGAGTCAATTTCAGCTCATAGTGAGCCTATATTACAGGGAGTAGAACTGCCCCAGGGTTTCCAAGGCTGTAAATCTTTAAGAAAGCAGACTGCCTCATCTTTCTCCCATGGAATGGCTGATGGGTTCAAACCACCAAGCTTTTGGTTGGTTAGCAGCCAAATGCTTTAACTACCTTTCAATGAAAGTGAAACAAATTTCTGTTAATAGCAGGCTTTTAAAAAGAGTTAATCTGTTCATTAATGTCTTCAAGGATCAATTTTCTACTACCTACAACGAATAATTTTACATTGTTTGACTTAATTCAGCAAATATCTATTACCATATACTTCATGCATGGTATGATGTTGAAGAATCAAAAGAAGGAAAGAATAGCTGCTGGTAGAGAAGAGAGCATATGTTTGAAATTATACTTCCAAATACATGTGTACCAACAACTCATAGCGACCTTATAGAACAGAGTAGAACTGCCCTGTGGGCTTCTGAGGCTGTAATGTTTTTCAGAAGCAGACTCCCCCGTGTCTCTCTTACTGAGTGGCTGGTGGGTTTGAATTGCTAAGCTTTCAATTAGCAGCCAAGCGCTTAACCACTATGCATCAAACCAATACTACACACACATACACACGCACATGCACAGATAAGGGAAGTGCCTTCAAGGTGTATACTTGCATTTTGTTGATGGTACTTTTAGACTTTATGATTCTTTAATTTTAGCATTACAATTTTATTTGCCATAAGCCTGTGTTGAGATTTTATGTTTGACTAAATCTTTATATAGATATAACATCATTTTAAACATACCACTTTCTAAGGCAGTATTGATTGAATCAGATTGTTATTTGTGCACAGCCATTTAAATTATTTCAGAGCTTCAGATATGTTTCCATTTTAGCCAAAGATCTAAACATTCTAAAAAGATGTAAGGAAGAAAATATATAAAACATATAGCATTTTATGATTATATCATAAATCAAAAGTTTAAAATGTGATGTAATTTCTCTTTAAGTTAGGAATATACCTACTCCTCACTTACCAACAATCTTGTTATCTGACATTTTACATTTATGACAATAGTAAAAAAATCTATCTGACTATTTTGTGCATTGATGATAGATATCTGACAGTAATGAATGACGAAGTCCCCGACGAGGTTCCTGGCCAGCAGACCCTGTGTGCACATAGAAAGGAAGCTCATATTGCATAGTATTTGACTGCGTGGGAAGGGAGTGGAGGCATGGTCTCTCCGAGCCGTGAAGGTGTCAGGTGGAACAGAGGAGGGAGCTGGAGTGACGCTGGCAAGAATGGGACACTGCCTGGTTGGTCTTGAGTGCCCACAGGGGCTGAGGCTACAGTGGTGGCTGGTCCTGAAGGTCGGCCACGCTTGGGGCCAGGGAGGCCCTAGTTTCCAGCTCCAAGGGGTGGCAGGGATGGGCTGGGCCATGGTCATAAGGAACCCTGAGAGGAGCACTTGGGTGCCTAGGGACCACGAGATGCCTTGTCAGCTGACTGGCACCTGTGTCACCCCTTATAATTCCTTCATATCCCCTCCTGGGCAGGTACATATAGGGCTGAGACAGGCTACTTGAATGAGGGTGGTGGGGTCAGATGTAGTTGCAATTTGTAGAGGCCAGAGCTAGCTCTCACAGCCTCAGAGGAAGCTCTGGATTGTCAGTTCTCATGGTGACATGGTATGGAATAGGGCAAGGCTGACTAGTAAAGGCCAGGGGAAGCATGGGTTAGGAGCTGGCAGGGGGAACCCAGTGGGCAGCATTTCCCCCCACACATACACCATTGCACCTTGGCCCTCTTGCTGTTGATGAGGGCGTTTTGAGGTAGTTGAGGGGATGAGCCAGGGCCACTCATCCTGAAAATACAGTGAAGGCAGGAAAGGGACCATGGGGATGGCAAGGGGGCAGCCCGGTGGAGACTGAGGGACTCTTGTCTGTGGATGATGGTGGGGCCTGAACTCCACTGAGGTGACATGAGGGAGGGAGAAGTAGCAGAGGCAGGTGACCTCAGTAGGGGTCCAGTGGAATGTTCACAGTACAGATGAGGGGATGAGGTGAAGTGGTCTTCCTTTATTTATGCATAATGCCAATTCTTGCATATCAACTGATTTTAAGAACCTGACTGTCAGTGAGTGAGGAGTGGGTATGCTATGATGTTCTAAAATAGTTGTCTTAGGAAAATCATGGCTACCAATGGTGCTATTTTAGTATTTGATGTTATTTCTTCTTTGAGTAAAAATGAAAGTAAGTTAATTTCTAGAAATTTTTATTGTCTTTTTGGCAATGTTTTTTATTCTGTAAAAAGCATGAAGGAGTGTGTACAGAAATGAATTAGTACAAGAATTAAGAGAATAAAAGAATACCGTGTTAATCCTTGTGACTTTTTCAGTTATGTTATTATTTGTATTTCCTCTGAGTGTGAACACATTGTTGATTACATATTTGGAAGCAAGACACATGGCATAAAATCATAAACTCAGTTTTAACTAATACTGTATTTAGTAACTTTCTTTGGAAGTATTCAATACTTTCTTTATTAGTCATGCTAAGGGATTCAGCAGAATATCATGACATTTTTATGTATACCAGACAGGAGAAAGAGGCATATATCAGAGCAAAATATGTGGAGAGGAAATTTGTGGATAAATACTCTATATCATCATCACCTCCTGAGCAGGAAAAAAAGACTGCCTCCAAAAGTTTTGAAGAAAAGAGGCTGAGCATTTCTAAACCTGGACCAAGTGACCAAGTCAGAGTAGCTGCCCAAAGTTCAGGTATCACACTTACTTATTGTGTGTGTGTATATATATATATATACTTTCTTACAGTGAAAATCACTTTCATAGTCTCTGAATTAATAGCCAATGCAGGTTTTTTAAGTGCTAAAAACTTGTTTCCTTCTATATAGTCTAAGGAAATACTGGATTTCTGTGTCTTTAGAACAATTAAGTTTAAATGTAGTATCTCTATTCTAAGGAATAAACCAAACTAAATTCACTGCTGTCAAGTCAGATCTGACTCATAGCGACCCCTCCTTGGGTTTCTGAGGCAGTATCTCTACGGAAGTAGATTGCCCAACCTTCCTTCTGAGGAGTGGCTGGTGGGTTGGAACCACCAGCCTTCTGGTTAGTGGTCAGACGCCTTAGGCACTATGCCACCAGAGCTCCTCCTTTGGTTTTTCTAAGGAATAATACTGCGTAAAATGCAAGGGGAGATGGGAAGTATATGAATCTACCATGCCAAAGACCCCAAGTATCTGATTAACCACTTATTTTCCTTCCTATTTTTCCCTCCTAAATTTTCCCAATAACGTTTTTCCTGCCCTTTTCCCTTCTTATTGCCTGCTTTGTGCTTTGCTAACTTGCATGTCCCCAGTGGTTGCTGTTAATAGCGACGAGGCCAGGCGGGAGTCTCTGTTCTGTCCTGATGAGCTAGACTCACTCTTCTCCTACTTTGATACTTCTTCAAAACTGCGTAGTAGTAAGTACTACTCTTGTGGAGCATTCCAAGTCTGTGCCCAGTGGTCATTGTGCAGTGTGGCCATTTCTCTAGATGTTTCTCATTGTCTCAGATAACACATTTACAGTCATACAAAATAAATTAAGCTTTTTACTACCCCTGACATATTATGGGGTAATGTGATATGTTACACCTTTGAAAATGTTTATTTTCAGGCTTTTCATATCTTGATAAGCAAAGTGTTTAAAATTGTATTAAATGTGTTCTCAATGTATTCTACTGATGATGGCTAAGTTTATGCTGATGTGTAAGGACTCATTTAAAAACTTTGTTGTCTGTGGGGTATTATTTCCCAAATGATTTGAGCTTTAATCACTAGCTGATTTTTCTTTAAAACAGTCAAAAGTAATGACAGTGGAATCCAACAGAGCTGTGATGATGGAAGAGAATCTTTACCCTCCTTGGTGTCAGCCAATAGTTTATATGACCCTGGTGAGTTTTGGTGAAAGTTAATGTTAATCGATAATGTTTGCTGAAAAACACATGTGGTAAGTGCCTTGTCTTGATGGAATACGTTCTAAGGGGAGTGGTTAGTCTTTGACAAGATAGTAAAGGAAGAATAGAACTGTTAAATGAGAAAGTCATTGTTTCTGTTTATATCTGGAAGTTCTTCCCTAGTTGTTCATTCTTCCAGGTTTCATGATATGTGCCAAAGTGTCCTGCCAATAGCTAAGGATAATTTTCACTGCACATGAAAATATCATCATTCTTATTCTTCATCTTTCCTTGTGACTGTCTTTTCTTATCAGGACAAAGGGAGCAATGACTCCCTCCATCTTAGGTTTTCTTCTGACCTAGTTTGTCCTGATTTTAGTGATTGTGATCTCGCAGAATACTTGGAGTAGTGAGCGTTTTTCAAATTATTTGAACTGCTTATACTGCAATTTGTGATGGTTTCAGACCATTCTAGGGGAGAAGTATTTAGTAGTAAAATTCTTTTTGGGTTCTTGCTGCTGCTGCTTTTTAAGTTCAGGCTGATAGGAGTATACAGAAATTTAATCCAATACAGGGTAATTAATCTGCCTGTTTAATATTGGCAAAACCACAAAGCCTGGTATACCAGTTGATGTCTTTATATAAGAGACTAAATGTTGAGTGTTTGGTGAATGATTATTGTTAATAGCCATTGCATTAATTCTGATTCATGAGGACATCATGTGTGTAGAGTAGAACTCCCCTAGGGTTTTCAAGGCTGTGACCTTTTGGAAGCAGATCACCAGGCCTGACTTCCAGGGCACCCCTAGATGCATTGGAACTGCCAGTCCTTTGGCTGGTAGTTGAACACGTAACCATTTGCACCACTCAGGGACTCCAGGGAATGGTTGAATAGTCTGCAAGGTATAAGATCTCCATGTGTCAAACTCTCATAAGCTTGTTATGATAAATTAGTGGTTTCTTATGTTATAGCTCTCACGTTATGATATATTTAAGAACTCGTTTTTTTTTTTATGCTTCATACATATTTACTGTACTGAATTGGATTGGTGCATACTCTCATTATGGCTGTATGAGCAGTATTCAAAGAGGAAAAGAAAAGGAAAACAGAGCTACTAATTATATAATTGACTCAGTCGTCCACAACTGTTGTTGTTAGTTGCCGTTGACTCTGTTCCCAATTCATGGTGAGCCTGCGTGTTGCAGAGTAAAACTTCTCCGTAGGGTTCTCAAAGCTGTGACCGTTCCGAATTGGATCACCAGGCCTGTCCTCTGAGGTGCCTCTGGGTGGGTTTGAACTGCCACCCTCGCAGCTAACACTTGAGTGCTTAACTGTATGTGCCACCCAGGGACTCCTATTCACTTACAAATAGAACTTGCAAAAGATTACTCAGTTGCTGGGGTGATGGTTGAACAAATGTTTTTTTTTGGGATGAGGTAATGATGAGCAAGAAAGTTTTGGCAGTTTTGATCTAATGTATTACAAAGAAAAACTGGAGAAAGTTGCTTTTGTTTTTTACTAAAATTTGAATAACATGACGAAAAGTGGTATTCAATACATAGAAAAATGCTCAGCATATACCAAATGTTGAATATACAACTATGAATAAGACATGGTTCTTGCCTTAAAGAGTTGAATCTTGTGTAAATAATTATAATACAGATTGGTGACTGCTAGGACAAAGAGGTTATAAACTTGTAAAGAAAGAGATGATGATGAATTTTGGTCTTAAAGAATAAATGTTTTAAAGGAGGAGGATATGGCTTTTTCCAGTATTGAAAGTGGCACTTGGAAAAGCCTGTGGCCTGGCATGCCAAATTAGGCTAACAGAGTCAGTTAAGCAAAAGAATGGAAAGATCAAATGTGCTTTTTGTTTGTTTTTAAGGTGACTAGATATTTATGTGTCTTGGTGGGGGTTGGTTTAGGGAGACACAAAAAATTGCATTCTAGTTAAACATTTCTAGATTCCTAAGCCACATTACTTGGGTTTGGATTCAGGCTTTACTACTCATTGTGTACTGCTTCTGTGGATCAGTTTCCTGGTTTATAAAATGAGGCTAATAATAGTACCTATCTCATAATGTTGTTATGACAAAATGGGAGCTAATATATGAAAAGCACTTAGAATACTGCCTGTAAAAAATGTGTTAGCTTTTGTCATGATTACTAAAGTAATTTTCACAGATCTACTCTACAAAATTATTTTCTCTACCACATAATTTTCTGCTGGTAAGTGGCTGATTTGTGTAGTTTACTGCCTTCACCTCAGGCAAGATCTCATTTTTATTTGTGTATTTGTGCTTGCTTTTCAGAAGGAGAAAGACAAGATTCTTCTGCATTTCTTGATTCTAAACATCTTAATCCAGGACTTCAGCTTTATAGGGCTTCATATGAAAAAAACCTTCCTAAAATGGCTGAGGCTTTGGCTCATGGTGGAGATGTAAACTGGGCTAATTCGGAGGAAAACAAAGCAACACCACTTATTCAGGCTGTATTAGGGGTATGAATTTGTACATTGAGGTTTTTCGTGATAGTAAAATATTTTTTTAAAAAACATAATTCATTTTGAACATGGGTTTATTACTATGTTGTTTTGCTTTGAGAGATGGGTTGCAAAATAGAAGCCTTTGTGCAGACAGTAATGATTTCTGAGCATCATATTTGATTATTTAAACTCAATTTATTTTTTTTTCCTTTAATGGAAGAGAATTCTGTTAATGAAAGTAGTGTTTTTGCCAGATCTTAAACAGCAAATAGAACCCATGGTAGAAGTAATTCTGAGGGGGAGAGGTATTTTCTCTTTTTGGAAAATACAGTGGAAAGGCTTTTTGAGTGAAGTGAATAAAACTATACTGTTTTTAATAGAAATGTATTGTTGTTTCTTGTACATTGTTATCTTCATTTTTTCCCTCAAAGGGTTCTTTGGTGACATGCGAGTTCCTCCTGCAGAATGGTGCTAATGTGAACCAAAGAGATGTACAAGGGCGGGGACCACTGCACCATGCCACTGTCTTAGGGCATACGGGGTAAAGTATAGTGCTTTTATGTGAAAAAATTATTTAAAAATAAATGTTTTGCTTCTTATCAGGTTAAAGCCATTAGGTAGAATTGTGAAGTGATGTTTTCCTTTGACTTACATTGTCATGATGGAATTTGAAATTAAAAAGAATCTCATTCAGAAAAAAATTTATTAGATATGACAGTTGCAAAGCTTACTTTGAACTTAACTGCCTATACTATATGGGTAGAATATACATACTACCTATACTGTATGTATAGAATATACATAAATACCATATATATAGGTCAGTTTTAGTACGATAACCTTTTGTTATTGAGACTTGTGACTTTGTCAGACAACTTAAGTCTCTGTGTGTGTTTATGCATATGCATATAAATTATTTACATGTGAGAATTTTGTGACTATGGAAGTTTTAGTTTCCATAGATAAGTAAAAGTCTAAAATATTTTAAACTAAGTTCTTAATTTGTGCTATTGACATTGTAGCTTCTGAAGCAATATTTAGACTCATAGAACAATTGTTGTTTGTTGTTGTTTTCCCGTTGAGTCGGCCCCGACTCATAGCGACCCCTCCTTGGGTTTCCAAGGCAGTATCACTACGGAAGTAGGATTGCCCAAACTTCCTTCCGAGGAGTGGCTGGTAGGTTTGAACCGCCAGCCTTCTGGTAAGCAGTGAAGTGCCTTAGGCACTATGCTAAAGCCATGAAATGAATTTTCTGTTCGAAGGCATAGATGAAATAAAAATGTTGGCCTTATTTGACAATTTTATACTATAGGTGATTGTTTTTTAAATGAAACATAGAATTTGGTATGTTGTGTCTTGATTTTCATTGATCCAGAAGTATCTTCTGATTTACCTTTTGTTATCAACTCATTGATGATTTAGGAGTGTGTTTAATTTCCACATATTTGTGAATTTTTCAGAGTTTTCTCTGTTACCAATTTCTGGTTTTATTCCATTGTGGTTGGAGAACATACTTTGTATTATTTATACCTTTTTTTTTTTTTTTTAAACAGTTTTATTTTATGGCTTAGCAGATGATCTATGCTGGAGAATGTTCCCTGTTCACTTGAGAAGAATGCAGACTTCTGCTATTGGATGAAGTGTTTTATAGATTGTTTTATAGATGTCTATGAGGTCTAGTAAAGGAGCTCTGGTGGTTTAGTGCCTAAAGCATTTGACTGTTAGCCAGAAGGTTGGTGGTTCAAACCCACCAGCCACTCCTCAGAAAGTAAATCTTCCATAAAGATTTACTGCCTCAGCAACCCCAGGAGGGGTTGCTGTGAGTTGGAATTGACTCGATGTCAGTGAGTTTGGTTTTTGGATTAGGTCTAGTTGGTTTACAGTGTTGTTGAAATGTTCTGTTTCCTTGTTAATCTTCTGCCTAGTTCTAGCCTTTATTGAAAATGGGGTATTGATGTCTCTAAGTGTTATTGTTTAATTATTTCTTTCTTCCTTCATTTCTGCCAATTTTTGCTTTATGTAATTTTTTAGTGCTTTGTTATTTGGTGCATATATGTTTATAATAGGAGCTCTGGTAGCATAGTGCCTAAGACACTTGACTGCTAACCAGAAGGCTGGCAGTGAAGCCTATAAGCCACTCCTCAGAAGGAAGGTTGGGCAATCTACTTCTGTAGTAATACCACCTCAGAAACCCAAGGAGGGGTCGCTATCAGTTGGGTTCGACTCAACGGCACATAACAACAACAGGTTTATAACAGTTATATCTTCCTGATGGATTCACTCTTTTATCATTATAAAATATTCTTTATATTTTGTAATATTTTCTGTTTTAAAGTCTGTCTGTCTGATTTTAATACAGCCATTTAGCTTTCCAGTAGTTAATGTTTACATGATATGTTTTTCCATCCTTTTATTTTCAATCTTTTTGTAGCTTTGAATCTAGAGTGCATCTCCTGTAGACAGCATATACTTGGGTCATGTTTTTTTTATCCATTTTTACCAGCTCTTCCTTTTGATTGGATTTTTATTTAATCCATTCACATTTAATGTTACTGATATAGTTGGATTTTTGTCTGTCATCTTACTTTTTGTTTTCTATATGCTGGTATTTCTTGTAAGGTGGTAGTTCTGCTTGCAATGAAATTTCTCATATCTTGTTTACCTGGATATTTATTTAACCTTCATTTTTGAACAGTAGCTTTGCTGATTGGCAGGTTTTTTTGTTTGAGCACTTTGAATATGTTGTCCCATTGCCTTCTGGCTCCCATTGTTTATGCTAAGAAGTTAGCTGTTAATCTTTTGGGCATTTTTTTTTTTTTTGTAAGTGACAAATTGATTTTTCTCTTGCTGCTTTCAAGATTTTCTCCTTGTTTTGATTATCAGCATTTTTATGATGATATGTCTATTTTTGGATCTCTTTGTATTTATACTACTTGGAGTTTATTGCACTTCTTGAATGTGTATGTTACTGTTTTTTAATAAATTTGGAAAGTCATTAGATTTTTGAAGATTTTTCCCTTCTCTTTTCTCATTCTCTCCTCTTTTGGTACTCCTGTTATGTGTATTTTGGTGCATTTAACCATGTCTCTGTTCATTTTTCTTTATTCTTTTTTTCTCTGTTGTTTGGCTTGCATAATCTCTAGCTATTTTCAGGCTTGCTGATTCTTTCTTCTGCTAGTCTGAATCTACTGTTGAATCCCTGTACTTAATTTTAATTTCAGTTATTGTAGCTTTCGAATCCAGAATTTCTTTTTTTAAATTTTTATAATTAATACTCTGTTGATATTCTTTATTTGCTAAGACAGACACTGTCATCATGCCATTCTTTACTTCTTTAATTAAGCTTGTCTTTAAATTCTATGGAAATAGTTATAATGGCTACTTTTATGTCTTTTCCTGTTAAATTGAATGCATGGCCATTCTCATGGACAACTGCCTGCTTTCCTCTGATGTATGGGTCCTATGCTTCTGTTTCTTTTAATGCTTGGTAATATTTTGTTGTTTGATTTCATCTTTGTCAGTTTTGTTAAATTACTATGAGTATTTGTGAATGTAATAGGAGAATCACTTCCTCGTCTTTGCTCTTACATGATCATTAATGTATTTTAATGTTTAACATTGCCTTGGCTTCCTTGATTCTCAAATAATGACCTTGAGTGATTTTTGTTTGGCTTATGTGTCATAGACATCTGCACATCTTTTGATGATGTTCTTGAGGGTTGTTGTTGTTGTTAGTTGCTATTGAGTCAGTTCTGACTCATGGTAGGTCAAATATGATGTATATGAAAATATCTTGAGACTTATAAAGTATTTGAATTTATGTTCAATAAAAGGAGCTCTGGTAGCCAGTGCATATGATAATCTGACTGCTAACCAGAAGATTCATGGTTCAGACTCACCAGTCACTCTACGGAAGCAAGACTGGGCAATTTATTCCCGTAAAGATTTACCACCTAGGAAACCCAATGGGGGTCTATGAGTCAGAATTGACTTGATGGCAGTGGGTTTGGGTTTTGGTTTGGTATGTTCAATAAATATTTATAGAGTGAATCAAGAAATTTCTAATGAAAGTGTTATTTCTTTAAGTTAAATGGTGTTTTATTTCTATTTTATGATAAATACTAACTTTTTGTCTTGTTTAAAAAATGCTGTTTCCTTAAACAGGCAGGTATGTTTATTTTTAAAACGAGGTGCCAATCAACATGCCACTGATGAAGAAGGGAAAGACCCTTTAAGCATAGCTGTGGAAGCAGCCAATGCTGATATAGTGACATTGTAAGAATTTTATTTTTTATCTGAATATTTCACGTACAATTTATTACTTGTACAGGGTGTTAACACTGAGTTTCATGCATATGTATGAACTTTAAAAGTAATTGGTTATTTACTGTGTGTTATGTGCTTCTCTACATACTTAACAGGTATAAACTTATTTGGTTCTTACAACTAGTCTATAAGGGAGGCATTATTATTATTATCATACTCATTTTGAAAATAAGGAAACCAAGCCACAGATAATTTGAGAAACTTGTCTAAGATCACACAGCTAGTAAGTTGTAGAGCTGGTATTGAAACAAAGAATTCTGACTTTCAAGATCAGGTTCTTAGCCACTTCCTACTGTATGACCAGTAGGAAGAGAAAACTGGTGACGCCTTTAAAATGGAATTGTGAACTCTGAAAATAGTACTTGAGGGAGGTTGATAGAGGAACAAATAATTATTCTATGTCTCAAGAATTAGAGGATTATAACTAGGGGAGGATGGTGGCATTAATGCTAGTAACTGTTGCAGTTGCATTGCTTTTGAATAATCATATTTAGAAATCTACTTATGTTTACCTTTTCAAATTATTTTTCACACAGATACCAGATTTATTATAAAATACATATTCTTATTTTTGAATGTTTGAATAAAATTTAATGTGATACATTAAAGAAAGAAGTTTGAGATTTTAATTTGATTTTCATGTTAAATCAAAGTAGTTTGTTACATTTGAAACCTAGAAATGAGATGGTCACCTACACTTTGTTATGTAGGAAATCTCAGGAGTACATTGTATGAATTGCTTTTTCATTGAGTAGAGATAGTTCCATCTATGTTGTTAAATCTCAATCATTTACAAAGAGAAATTCCCTCAGTTGACTTGAACTGCCAGAGCTCCCCACGGAGAATT